ATAAAGGGAGAACCCACTTTTTTTTTTTCCCCATGAGACTCCAGAAATAAGAGAATTGTGTATTTAGTGAAAAACTAGGTTTGTAGTGAAACAGTTAATATTTCATGAAAGTAGATATTTTTAGTATTTTTAAAGTACCACACTGTTCCTGGATTTTTAAGGAAAGGCGCGTTACATTTAGTCTTCCTTACAATAAAATCAAGAACTGATTTTTAGAAAGCAGTCCAAAATAGCACAAAACCAGCCAAAGGAAAGCGGATAGAAATCGACACCCCACCTCCCTTGCCCATATTCCTCACCCATCTTCCCCCCTCTCCCTATGCCACTTTGCTTCCTCAGAATGAGAAGTAAGAAGGAGTATAAACTCTGTTCTCATGTGGAGATGTTGTACATCTCTCCCTGCACTGGTGACTGCAGGCAATAGTTCACCCAATACCAGTGCTAACTGAAAACATCTATCCTTTCCAAAGTGAAGGAGAAGTTAACTTTCAGTGTCAACTTTGTCCAGAACTATTTTAAGTAAAATGTTCCTGCTTGATAGAACTGTATTCAGAATTTACTAATGTCAGCATTGATGCAACGGATTTCATTGTCCGGGTACACGGAGAAATGTATCTACCTTATATCCAGCTGTACTGTAGTGCCACCCGCAGGCCTGTTAATATGTTCACGGTTATTTCATTTTTTAAAAAATAAAGTCATTTACTGTAACAACCTGAGCAGTTTCTTTCAGACTTGTACCCTCATCGTCCTGCTTTGAGTTTGTGTCAGCCTCTGCTAGTGTCAGCTGCCTGTTAACTTCTTGCCCTGTGTCTGACCAGAAGGCTTGAGTGTTCTACACCTTGTGGCCCACATATATGCTGAGAGCATACCAAGGTACCTGTGAAGTTTGGTTCTCTGAGGTAGTTTGGGTGGAGGATCTATCTTGTCATCTCTTGTGCTGTGCTCCCCACCTCTCACTGTCTTCCTAACAGGCTGGGGTTCAGAGCTGCCCTCTCTACTGGAGATACAGATGGGGTCGTAAAGGTTCCCTGGTTTCTGACCTTGGAGTTGTGATGGCAGCAGCAGTTCTGGTCACTGATGTGGCATGCTGTCAGCTTCTCAGGTTGGTTACTGGGTGCAGGTAGTTCACACCCAGACTTTTGCTGCTTTCATACCCTTGCAGCTGTCCTGTGAATACAGGCTAATTCAGGCTGCTACACATGGAAAGGGTTATCCCAGACCCATGAACCATTCAACTTCACTTCACAAGCATTTCTTGTGCAGTTCTGTTGTGCTCTGTGCATACAACCCATTCTGAATGGTAAATTACAGCTGAGATTATTTGTGTGTGTATATATATCAGGAATTAGAATTTGGTAAAGACAAAAAAGACAAAAGACCTGGCTATGCATAATGCAATAGCTTCAGTAACTTCCAGTGGAGTGATCTACACTGAGTTCTGCATCTCATGCTGAACCTTTGGTTTGAGCATATCAAACATTGTTTCTGTCCCTTGAATTTCCTCTTTCATTAGTCGGAATAGAATTAACCTAAAGCAATATTCATCCAAAATCAGAGGAATGATTTGCACAAAAATTAGAAACTAAAGAAATTTGTAGCAATCCAGATTTTAGACCAGATGAGGACAGGAAGAATCTGTAAACTGATCTGGCAAACAAGTTCTTGTACCTTACATTTTAAAACTTTCATTCTTTATCTGGATTGTATGCATTGGGAGACAGAGTACCACAACTTTTTTTGATATTGATTAAAAATGTAACAATGTAGTCTGCAAGGGTAGTCTGCCAGGGTTAATTTTACAACACTTATATCTCTCGTCTGTTTGTAAACTATGCTGAGGCAACTGAACCAGGCAATGTAAACATGAGAAAAAATAGGTACTTAATACATCAAAGGCTGTGATCCATTTCTCTGAAAGATTCCAAGACAGCCTCTTGTAGAACCTGAGGATGTGAAGTCAGAATTGGAGCAGAGGAGTTAGATGTGAAGCAGTAAGTTGAATTTACCTGCAATACAAATAAGAAGGAAGTTACCAGGCACAGATACTCTTTAAAGTTATTGCTCCTATGTACATACAGTGTCTCCCTCCTTCCTCATTTCTGGCAGCCCTTTGTTAGTTCTCTAAGCTTCTACAGTTGAGGTATTGGTTGAGCTGTATGACACGTGCTAGTGGCTTATCATTCATCTTGTAAGCATTGCTTTGGTGGAAAAGCAGTGAGACTACACAGTGCGTGAGTGAAGCACCAGTGAACAGTGCATTTACTGATTCTGGTTACTGGTAACTAATCTGGTGGTGATCCTCAGTGTTTTCCCAAGCTCATTTCCTGCCTATCTGGGATGCACCAGCCTGCTTGTGGCCACTTCTCAATGTAACTCAGAATTTGACATCAGCCCACAGCTTCTTTTCCTCTTCATCGGTAGTCTTTAAGTTCCCTATTCTCAACCTTGAAAAAGAGCTGCACGCTCCCACTAGGCATTTGAAAAATAGCCAGGCAGAACTCTTACTTCTCTCTCTTGTCTCCCTCATCCTTCTGCCTTACAAGAGTTTTTGTTACCTCTCTACTTCTATATAGGCTAATACAAAACCGGTAGAGTTTCAAAAGCTGGATGTAACGAGATACAGCTGCTTCCCCTAGGAAGGTCGCTTCTAACTTAAAACAGCTTTCAATCAGAAAGCATAACAGGTAAATAAGGGAAGAGTTCTCAAAAGAATTTCCAGTTCTAAGGTCCCTCAATGTCAGTTTATACTATCAGCTCGCACTTTTGTGTTTTCCTTACACCTTCCAGCATTTGATACTCCTCCATTACAAACTGCACCTTTAAGCTTCAGAGAGGGTTCCCACTGCGTTCTTCCAATTCATCTTTCTTCATGAGACCCTTATTTATTCTGCTAAACTTGACCAGAGACGCTTTGTATTCTTCAGCCCTGACTAATTGCTGTTCCTGTGCATTACAGCAGCATCTGCCTGAACCAGTTTCAGCAGGATCTCAGATCTGACCTGGCATTGTTTTAAATGTAGCTTTGCTTAAGCTGCTGTACTCAAGGAATGGTTCATTTGATTCCCATGCCTTATTGTTTAGGCCATAGTAGATTGATAGGTCTTTGGTCACCTATTTTAATCATTTGTAAAACACAAATTTGTCATGAGTTATTTCAGCAACAGCACACCTTCAGGAAAAATATACAGCCTTAATTTGAAAACAATCGATGAGCTGTTTTCCTGGGTAGGTCTTAAGGTCTTAATTACACAGCAGTATACAGTATTACTGATAGCTTCATATAAGGAATACTGCTAATCATTCTATTTTAATTTGACCTGCAGCTGGCTTTTGTTCCAAAAATAGCCCTTCAGTACCAGTAGTACTTCCTTGTGGGAAAGTAAGTTAATGAACTAATTTCTTACTATTCTTTATGGAAAGAAATTGAGCTGCTTATTGCTAGCTTAAAATATAGTTCCTGAGGTTGCCCTAAAGCTCAGTGTGCCATGTAGCAATGAGCTGCCATGTCAGACATTCCTAAGACCACCTGCTTTACTAATGTTCATATTCTGTTGTTCATAACACAGTTTATTTATAATGCACTGTAAGTCTTCCTACTGCTCCTGAACAGTTTAAAAGGTAAGGCACAGTTTATTTAGGTGCCACTTACCCATGGTGCAGTTATTTAGCCCTCTCACACTCTTAACACATTTTACTCGCCAGGTGTCTGAATTTTCTTTCTTCTGTTTGCATCTTTCACTCACCTGAGTATGAACCCATTACTTAAGTAACAGAGCTGTTGCCATGGGATTCTCTGATATGAAACTGGTGCAGTTAGACTTACTTTGGTGAAGGTTATGCATGTTGGAGTTACTTGGAGGTAAGAGCGGATTCCTTTTATTCTGTTTGTAAGTCAGTTGCACCATCAGTGGTGTAAATTGTACAGCCCCTTTAGCAATCATTTTGTGGCCATTCATATCCAGAAGCAGATATGACAAAATGTTCTTTGTCACTGTGTGTAGAGACATTTGTTTTTTCAACTCTTAGATGTAATGGAGAGTTGCTAATACTTTGTATTTTTCATCATTGCTCGTTATACTAAAGTTCATGCACTCATTAGAAGATTCTTCTCTAAGCAGCTCATTGCTTTTGCTCTTACTCTTTCTTTGGTCTCTTTTCATACAGGCTATTTGGCAAGTGATGAGACTTTGCCATAGTGCCTTCCTTCAGGGTTGGGTTGGGTTTTTTTTGGTAGCAGAAGAGCTACGATAGCAGCAAATAATTTTTTTTAATTAAAAACCAGCTTACATAATGGTCAACATCATCAGGAATCTGTGTACAGGGCCTGCTCCATCAGCTGTAATGCACATACAGGCTACCGGGGGGAGGGGGGGGAGGCAGAAGCGGCCCATTCATTAGCTGTGGCACTGCCTGAGGACGGGGATTCTGGCGGAGTTGTTGAAATGTAACAATTTTTGGTCTTTTGGTATGCTAAAGCATGCACATTCGCGCCCCACAACAAGGGGGTTTCACGCTCCTTTCCCCGTTCAGCCTTGTCTGTGTAGTTAAGTAATCTCTGGTCTCCGCTGAGCTTTCCAAGAACAAGAGCACCGGATGATCATGGAGACTACGACGCCTTCATCCCTCCGCTTTGACAACGAGTTAGTTTTGGTTTACGTCCGGCTTTGCGTGGAAGCCGTGGGCCTTTAAAATGCTTTTAAGCTTAATTGCTGATGCCTTGAATTGCCCAGAGGAGGCGCCTTTACAGAAGATGGCTTCTCCCATCCTGGTCTCTATTGCTCTGTCTCCGAGCCACCCCGGGTCTTAGTTCGGCGCTTTCCCCTCGGTAACTCTCTCACGCTGTGCATACTGCTGCTGCCACCGTGCCGGGAGCTCCGATCGCTGCCCTCCCCGGGCCTGCTGCCGAGGCTCGGCCACCGCCGCTCGCGCTCCCCACGGCCCCGCCTGCACGGGGGGGCAGCCGAGCGCCGGGGGCTCCGCAGAGGCGCGGGGCGGGATGCGGGAAGCGTTCGCCCTCCGCGGCGCCGGCTCCGCCCCTTCAGGCACCCAGGGCGGGGCTGCGCCTGCTGCAGGACCCTGCCCTTCAGGAGCCGCTTCCCGCCGCCGCCATGGTCTCCTGGATCATCTCCCGCCTCGTGGTGTGAGTGCGGGCGGCCGCGGCCGGGGGTGTGCGGGGCGGCCGGGGCATGTACGGCGGTGCCGCTGCGGGATCGACTGCGGGGCGGGCGGCTGCGGCGAGCCCGCGCGGGCTGCGCGGCCCAAGGGCGGTGTTGCGGAGGGGGCGAACGAGCCCCGCCTTGGGGGAGTCGCCGGGGCCTTTTCCCGGTTGCGGCAGGTGGCGGTCGGGGTGCTGAGCGGTCTGTTCTTCTCGCAGGTTGATCTTCGGCACCCTCTACCCAGCGTACTCCTCCTACAAGGCCGTGAAGACGAAGAACGTGAAGGAATATGTGAGTTGGGGCTGGCCGCGCCGGCGCAGCGCCCTCCCGCCCCTCGCGGCGGCTCCGGGCTGTCCCCGGGGCTTCGGCCCCGCAGCGCGGCTGCGCGGGCAGCAGCCCCCGGCGCTCGGAGAAGTTGGCGGGGAAGGGCGCGTACGAAGGCGGGAGGAAACGGAGGAGATGTGTTTTTTTCTCGCGGGATGCTGAGTGAGGAGGGAGCAGGGCGGGAGCGCTGCGCAGTGCACGCAGGTGGAGGTGCAAGGCACATTCTTTTTTCCCGTCTCGTCTGTATTCTGTGTCCCTTTACAGCTTTTTCAGTAGAACTTTCGTTGTCTTCCGAAAAGCTGAGTAATCCTGCTTGGTTTGTGTCTCCCTGCCAGCCGTGCTTGTGATCAGTGTTCTCTGTTAGTCAACGCCTTATCTTCCTTCCGTTCTGGAATCGGTTTTACCCTGTCTTACATCGTCATTACAGTTACCGCATTTAAAACACCAAATGCTTTTTAGGGATGTGATGTGTCATCTTCGTACAGAAGGGGTATTCTAAGTTGATCAGTGGAGATAAGAGCTGTTTGGTTTATGGGTGGGATGAGTTTCTGTTATCTAGAGCAAGAAGTAACCTGATGGAGAAGAAATGGTGAATAGCACATAGTTTGTCAGTATTGCCTTGGTGTGCCGTCTGAGACTTCTCATCCCTCTCAGTCTGATTGCTCCTTTAGAAATAACACGTCGGCTATAAACATTGCAGGATCCGTTTCTGTCTCATGGTTCTTCTGTCCTCTAGAATTGCCTAGACCTTTCCCATGTGCTGGCTTAAAATTCAGCCTACTGTTTTTTGAAGAAGATGCCAGCTGAGGTGAGAGTCTTGCTCATAGTGGACAGCTTTACAAACCACAACATCTGGCTGAAGTATTTTGGGGTTTGCTCTTGAGTTTTGAGGGCTTTTTATACCAGTTTCAGTAGAGAAGTCAAAATATGAATGTTCATGAGGTAACTGATACAGTTTTGAGTGAGTATTAGAGATACAGTCAGAGATATGAAGAGCCTTACTAAATGTTGAAATTATGAAATTAGAAACTGAAAAGAAAGTATAACAGAAACTATCTGGATAATTGCATGATCCTGTGACTTCATAGTTATCTTTGAAGTTATGTATGAAATAGTATTGTATACTGTATTCTTTGGCCTTCCTCTCCTCTCTCCTTCCTGTTGCCTGTAACCTTCATTTATTGCATGAAATGCGTATTTTTTTTTTTTACCCAGAATTTTATTCTGGCTCATGAGTGTCACGGAATGGTTGTGTTCCAGCCACGGAATCTGTGTTGACTTTAAGACAGACTCAGATTTCAGAATTTAAAATTGTTCTGTTGAGAACTTGAGGGGAAAAAAAGAAATTTTTTTTTTTTTGAAACTCCAGAGTTTGCTTGTTCTGGAGCTCAAAGACCTGGTAAATGTGGAGCCTTTGAACGTGTGGCTATTCTTTACAGCAAAAACTTGCGTCTTTTCTGTGGATAGGTTAGCTGTGGAGGTACGTAAATGCTGTGTTTCCTTGCAGAATCTGATTTTCTTTTGGTAGATGTTATCTAAATTACTGTAAGACTAATCTTATGGCAAAAAAGAAATAAGACACAGTACTTGAGTATCATAAAGTTATCTTAACAATAATATCAATTTATCATCTGGTTGTGAGCCCACTAGGGCTAATGTAGAAAAGTATGGCATTCATTTTGGGGTTTTGTTTAACATTCAATTGAGACTGTTTTCCTGATGTACATAGTTCTGCTTTGCTACAGCAGAAAATTCTCTCTTGTTTTTAGTTTCAGTGAAAATACTGGAGTTGGCTCAAGGAAACGTATTTAAACTGCTAAATCTGATTTTATACTATAAATTATTTCTCTTTGAGAGGACTGTATCAGAAATAAGAATTTAGACATTGGACTGGTGTTTGCCTAAGTCATTTATGGTTGGAGGGCTTCTTCCTTAACATAAGATGGGGGGAAAACTGATCTTATTTGGAAAACAGGGCAGGGGGCTGTTCTGTTCAAACTATTCTTCATATGGAAAACTTGAATGATGTGCTCTGCATTTTCAGAGCCAGCTGTGTCTATGTAATACTATTTGCTTGTAGTGCTTAAGAACCAGTGTTGGTGGGGGAGACAGATCCTACAGGATTGAAGGTTGAGTTGATGCAGACCAAGCTACCACAAGCAGTCCATCAGTGGCATCAGAGTACAGTGCAGACTTTCTCTTTTCCCCAGCCATGATACAAATTTGAGAAATCCTTGAGCACCTGTGACAGATTGCTCCTAGTAGCTCAGAGTAGTTTAAAAGTAATATCTTTCTTACGTGTCATCTTCACCTTTGGTCAAATCTACCTTCCAATTACGCTTATGCATTTACTGAATTTGTTTTTGTTCTTTGTGCAACTTGGGAGACTCTGGGCAGTTAGCTGAAATTGGTGGTCATCAGCTTGAGCAGTAAGATGCGACTCCTTTTAATGGACTGAAGAAAAACATGGCCTGGTTTGACCCTCAGTTTTTGAACATGTTTGTAATCTGTTACTTAAGAAACATCGTAAGATGTTCTAGTTTCTGGTCATCTGCACATCAGGGACTTCTAGAGCTAGAAGTTGAATCCTTCTGGTTTATTTAAGAGCTATATTTTTCGTCTTCGACTGCAGGGCATAGGGTTAAGGATGGCAGGAGGAGACAGAGACCTTTGCCCAGTATCAAAGATGTGAACACAGAGTATTTAAATAGTAACAAAGCAGTGTTTTTTGTTCTTTTCTGTTCCTCTTCTGATACTTCTAGCATTCTGTTAGCAGAATGAAAATGTACAATGAGCACTGAGCTTACGGTTTCATCAGGCTGTCTACAGTGACCACTTCTGAGTGGCATGAGCTAATTTATGTTATCACAATAGTTTTCACTTAAGAAAAAGCAGATAGTCTAAGTTCATTACTTGGTATTAATGATATTTAGTGACAAAATGTCAACTGGAGATCCATCAGTATCCGTTTCTGAATTCTTGAATCAACTCATACCTAATCCTCTATATAGGAAAGTATCTTCTGCACATTTTTTCATCTTACTGTTCACAACCTTTTCAAGAAGATGTGCAGCACAGATCTCAACACTGATTCATGTGTCATCCCACTGGTAACCTTCCTTGTTGTGAAGAATGGCAGTTTATTTTTACCCTCTCTTTCCTCTCTTTTAACCAGTTGTTAATCCTCAAGAGTCCCTTCATTTTTATCCTAGACAATTTAGCTTCTTTGAGTGTTTATTCAGGCCTGTCAGAAAGTTTGTAGAAACGCGCCCTGCCTGTGAAGGAAGCACTGTATCAAGAGCCATGGAAACCTGCAAAGAATTTCGCTACATTTGGGAAATTAATTTTTTTTTTCTGAAAAAAACATATTCCTAATTATATAGAATCATAGAATAGTTAGGGTTGGAAAGGACCTTAAGATCATCTTGTTCCAACCCCCCTGCCATGGGTAGGGATACCTCACACTAAACCATGCCACCCAAGGCTCTGTCCAACCTGGCCTTGAACACTGCCAGGGATGGAGCACTCACAACCTCCCTGGGCAACCCATTCCAGTGCCTCACCACCCTAACAGGAAAGAATTTCCTCCTTATATCCAATCTAAACTTCCCCTGTTTAAGTTTTAACCCGTTACCCCTTGTCCTGTCACTACAGTCCCTAATGAAGAGTCCCTCCTAGCATCCCTATAGCCCTCCTTCAGATACTGGAAAGCTGCTATGAGGTATCCACGCAGCCTTCTCTTCTCCAGGCTGAGCAGCCCCAACTTCCTCAGCCTGTCTTCATACAGGAGGTGCTCCAGTCCCCTGATCATCCTCGTGGCCTCCTCTGGACTTGTTCCAACAGTTCCATGTCCTTTTTGTGTTGAGGACACCAGAACTGCACACAATGCTCCAGGTGAGGTCTCACAAGAGCAGAGTAGAGGGGCAGGATCACCTCCTTCGACCTGCTGGTCACGCTCCTTTTGATGCAGCCCAGGATATGGCTGCTTTCTGGGCTGCGAGCGCACACTGGAGCCGGCTCGTGTTCATTTTCTCATCGACCAACACCCCCAAGTCCTTCTCTTCAGGGCTGCTCTGAATTTCTTCTTTGCCCAACCTGTAGCTGTGCCTGGGATTGCCCCGACCCAGGTATATGACCTTGCGCTCCTATAGTGCAAAATATGTGCTAATTGTTTTTATTACTGCCTTCATTTTGCCTAATATTGAAGTAAGATTTACTGGTATGTAGCTTCTCTGAAATCTCTCGCCCATTGGGATCCCTATTTGCCACCTTTGCTTTATTATTCTTCACACGCTTTTTCATACAAGAGCTGATTTATGTTGCTGAATTGAAGAGTTAAACATTTGTTTAATAGAGTTGCTTTAGAACTTGAGTGAATGATGCCTGGTCCTGTTCAAATGGATGATACAAGGGCAAAACTAAAGGCAGGAGAGCACCATAAAATACAAGTTTTGCTACTTTCTGTGGTGAAAAAATACATAATAAAGTGGAAATAATTTGGACTACTGATCACTATCTTCAGAACCATCCACCGTGTTAGAGGAGTTGGATGCAGTATAATTTTTGTAGGGTTTTTTGTTTGTTTTTTTTTGGGGTTTTGTTAAGGAAGTTTTGGAAGCTCTTTCAAGAACAGATCACCAAATTCCCCAACACAGACAAGTTTGGGGAGATAACTGCTTTTATAACTTCATTTGCTGTAACAAAGACTGTCACTAAACTGTTCATGTAATTTTCATACATGGATTAATGTGTGGCTTTAATATGTGGAATTTCTTCAATTTGCTTTTCATGTCTATTCTTGATGACACTAAAAGTGCTAAGTTGATTTTAGCAAAGGTGACCTCTTCTTTCCATTTACCTGCTATTTATTTTTATGTCTTAACAGCATAGAAAACTGGCAGTTTCCCACATAAGATATCGACTCTTTTACTATTAGGCATTTTTGGGTAGCAGTTTTTATAATTCAGCTGATTCAGAGACTTGCTACTAAAACAGGATGGGGGAGAGTGTGTGTGTTAATGGGGGATTATTTTATGTTTGCTTTGAAAGAAATATCTACTGCTTGGAAGAAAGGTGTGAGAAAGTAGGGAGATAGATGACGGGCATACAGATGTACCTTAACAGCACAAAGTAGACCTTAAACAGGAAGATGAGTTTGTGACATGTTTTTTGCTTTCTTACCTCTCTTAACGAGCCTTTATTTAAAAAGAGCTTCTGTGATTTCTGGGCATAATGATTAAGGCAAATAATGCTTACTAATAAGAGCAAAGTCCTATATCTCTTGGTTTTGTGGTTTGGAAAATACAGGGCTACAGTTTAAACTTTTGTGTGTGTGTATGTATTTATTACAATAATCATGATACATGAAAGAATATAACTTCTTGAAGTGAACTGCTTGCTCTTTTTAGATAGCTTATTTGGGGCTTTTGCACCGTTGCTCATGGTACTGCAATAGGGTGTGCATTCATCAGTGTACCTGTATGCATTTAGAGCACATTAATACTACATGTTTTCCCAAACTATAATGTACCATTAAGTATGGACCCTCCTCCATTATTGATAATATATGCCCTTCTTGTTGTGGAATTCATCGTAATGTGTGGAGATGATGAGTCATTTTTACTGAGAAGACGTTTTGCCTTTTTCTGGATTCTGATGGATATGTATTGAGTGGTTGCTCTTTTGCAGGTGAAGTGGATGATGTACTGGATTGTGTTTGCCTTTTTTACCACTGCAGAAACACTTACAGACATTGTTCTTTCTTGGTGAGTTCCTTGGCAGTATGGGATGGGGGGGGGGGGGGTTGCTTGTTTGATTGCTTTTTAAAGAAGGGAGGAGTAGTGTTAGGATGCTAAGAATAAACTCTCTTTAGGCATTTTCAGTCCCTCTGAAGAGTCTGCAGGTTTGCAGATATTGTGGGTAGTAGTTGCTGTCTTACCTTTCTTCTGTACTGGCAAACAGTTGGAATAAATGTGCAGCGTCTGTAAGAGGATCTTCATAATTTCAAACATTTTTGAGAGACTTAATTGGAACTGGTGAAGTTTGAGAAACAGAGGTATAAAAGATACTTAAAAACAAAAAAAAGATGGTAGAAGGAAGGGGCCTGTTTTGCTTTGCCAGGCCCTTGTATGGAGGAGCAGATCAAATGCACCTCTGTGCTCCGAGAGGTGTTTTCCATGATTAAATTCTCTTCTACTAGTGGGAGTGGGGTGGAGTTGTGGGAAGCAGGTTCTTAATCCTTGCAGTGCTGTGTTTTGTGCTTGGCAATATGGACGCCTCCAAAAATGACAAATCACTATTACGTGTCTTCAACTGAACCTTCCGAACAGGCAGTCTTCAGTTTCTTCGTTTGCTTTAGTGTTTGAGCTTTGCGTACATCTCTGACAGAATACTAGTCAAGAATTCTATCTCTTAAAGAAACATGAAATGGCCACACATGCCTCACAAAAGCACTCATCAGTTTTGCCTCTTCCTGCATAAACTTTCAAAGGCAAAGATCTAAAAAGAACAAGAGCTTTGGCTTGTTCACATGCTTAAAATGGACTGCTAAAACCAGAAGTCTCTTACTACTAACAGAGAAAGAAAGTTTTTGTTCACTGGTTTCGGTCTTTGCTACTGTTTCTTCCCAGAAACTTTATTGGGTGAGGGTTAGAGATGAGATGTCCATGCTGCCAGCTCTTTTCTATTTACACTGGTCCTCCTGTAGAGTGTTATCTGTGGAGTACCTACTGGAAGCTTCAGAAACTGAGCCATCAGCCTTAGCAGGAACTTCAGATTTCTTTTTCTCCATTTGAAAAAAGGAGGTCATAGTTGAAAACTTTGGAAAATGAGATGTAAAGTAATGCAGTATTAATAGCCAGGGGATACTCTCTGAACAAACTTCAGAATGATGAGAGTAGCTATCAGATTGTAATTTGGTGTGTTTGCAGGGCTGAGAGATGCCCTGTTTATGGAGTTTTCATGGCTATGGATGAAAGACTAAGTGAGACTCGGAGCAGGTATGTTCTAGGATTCCAGAGGGTTCTGCTATTATGACCTGATATATTGATTCTTTTGTTTCTGAGCCGTTATATCTTGTCTTTGTTCTTTCTGCCTGTACTGCTTTCTGCCAGTTGTCTCCATCTGTCCCTGTGCTAATCTTGATACCAGTTCTCCATCTTTCTCTCTGTCTCGCTCTTCCTCCCCCCACCCCTTTCTCTCAGGTTTCCCTTTTATTTCGAGCTGAAAATCGCATTTGTCATTTGGCTGCTCTCCCCTTACACCAAGGGCTCCAGTGTCCTCTACAGGAAGTTTGTGCACCCAACGCTCTCCAATAAGGAGAAGGTACTCACTTGTTAGAAGATACTGACCTGTCTGGGAGGTGACCGACTTTTGATTCAGTTATGCTGCAATAAAAACTGAAATGCAGGAATCGTGCTTGTGCTGACATTAATCGATGTAGAATGATTCTCTCTCTGACAGCAGTGGCATCCTGCAGCTTACTGAAAATTGTAACATAGCCAGTAGTTTGCCTAATGCTTAGAAAGCATGTTTGACTAACGCAGTGTCATGAGCCCTTATTGTCAGTAGTTAAGCTCTTCGAATTACAATATGAGCAGCATGTTCTGTAGTTACGCTGTTTTTTCACATTGTCAGTTTAAGCAGCTCCTTTGTTTCGGTTGTTACAATTTGGAAATAGCATACTTCGAGGAAAAGTTGCATTTGCAAGCTTTCTGTAAGTAGCAGAGAAGCTTCAGTTACGTGATCAATGACAGCTGTTGATGGTAGTCTGGAAGAAAGTGTCCAGATGAGCTTTGGGGCTTTAAGGGTGATGGTGGGGGAACTTTGATTATGTTTGTAACAAGCAGCTAAATGCCATGTTCCACATTACCTTCCTAGGAAATCGATGAATACATTACTCAGGCTCGTGACAAGAGCTATGAAACCATGATGCGAGTTGGCAAGAGAGGGTTAAACCTTGCTGCCAATGCAGCAGTTACTGCAGCTGCAAAGGTAATACAACACCTTCTGTAACATTCAGGAATCCCCCAGAAGTTTAGTTTTGTGTGCCAGCAATTAGTAGTATGAGTTTGTTAGAGATGCTGGTACCTGTGGACACCAATCTACTTTTCCTTTCCTCCAGTTTGCCTTGTGATTAATTCCATCCTTTGCCTTAAGAAAAGTGAGGAAGAGTGGAATGGATTTTGCTTTAACCTCTTTTCTTTTGGTCTTGGGAGCATACTTTTCTTTTTCCCTTTTCTCTTTTCCCAGAGTACCCTACTGGGGAATAGGACACCTTTTCTCTTCTTCTGAATGATCCCATGTGAGATGATCTTGGTGAAGGCGAAGTTCCCTTGACCCTTACTATTTTGCCATCTTAGGGCCAGGGAGTTTTGTCTGAGAAGCTGCGAAGTTTCAGCATGCAGGATCTCACTCTTATCCGGGATGAAGATACTGTGCACCTGCGAAGCCGGGAGCCTCAACTGCACCCATCTGGTGGGAGTCTTCTTGAAACCATTGAGGATTCAGGTACAGAACACTGTCCTGGGTTCAGGAGTAAAAGGATTTTTTTCTCCTTCTTAGTAGCTGGTGCAGTGCTGTGGTTTTGACTTTCAGCCTGGGAACAGCACTGATAACACCAATGTTTTTAGTTGTTGCTAGGTGATGTTTACTCTCACCAAGGACTTTTCTCAGTCTCATGCTCTGCCAGGGAGGAGGGGAAGTCGGGAGGAAGCATGGACAGGACACTTGACCCAAACTAACCAAAGGGATATTCCACACCACAGCATGTCATGCCTACTGTATAAACGGGGGGAATTACCCAGAAGGCCAGATCACTGCTCGAATCAGGCTGGGTATCGGTCGGAGGGTGGCGAGCAGTTGTATTTTCTTCCCTTGTTATTTCCTTTATCATCATCATTATTATTATTGGTGGTAGCAGCAGTGGTTTTGTGTTATACCTTAGTTATTGGACTGCTCTTATCTCAACCTATGGGAGTTACATTCTTTCCATTCTCCTCCCCACCTCTCTGGGAGTGGGGGGAGGAAGGGGCAGGGAGTAAGCGAGTCGGTGGGCAGTTCTGAGTTACTGCCTGGACTTAAAAAGTATTTGCTAAAACTTTCTCTCTTATTGCTTAGCTTCCTGTTACTCCTCAGGAGAGGAGAGCAGTATGGCACAGAGGTCTAATGGAACCCCACTGGAGACTAGAACAGACCCATCAGATGAAGATGCAGGAGATAAACTTCCTAAACGTACCCAGAGTCTCAAAACTCCTAAGAAGATGATGAAAGCTGAGGTAAGCTGGTGGGTAAATTATTCCCAGTACATACGTTGATTTGTGAGGTTTGTTGGAAGGCTCTGGCTTCATAGTCTCACTGCATTTAAAAGCTGTTTACATGCAAGGTCCTACACCTGGGTCGGGGCAATCCCAGGCACAGCTACAGGTTGGGCAAAGAGATTCAGAGCAGCCCTGAAGAGAAGGACTTGGGGGTGTTGGTCGATGAGAAAATGAACACGAGCCGGCTCCAGTGTGCGCTCGCAGCCCAGAAAGCAGCCATATCCTGGGCTGCATCAAAAGGAGCGTGACCAGCAGGGCGAAGGAGGTGATGCTGCCCCTGTACTCTGCTCTTGTGAGACCTCACCTGGAGCATTGTGTGCAGTTCTGGTGTCCTCAACACAAAAAGGACATGGAACTGTTGGAACAAGTCCAGAGGAGGCCACGAGGATGATCAGGGGCTGGAGCACCTCCTGTATGAAGATAGGCTGAGAAAGTTGGGGCTGTTCAGCCTGGAGAAGAGAAGGCTGCATGGAGACCTCATAGCAGCCTTCCAGTATCTGAAGGGGGCCTATAGGGATGCTGGGGAGGGACTCTTCATTAGGGACTGTAGTGACAGGACAAGGGGTAAGGGGTTAAAACTTAAACAGGGGAAGTTTAGATTGGATATAAGGAAGAAATTCTTTCCTGTTAGGGTGTGAGGCACTGGAATGGGTTGCCCAGGGAGTGCGAGGTATCCCCCACTATGGCAGGGGGGTTGGAACTTGGTGATCTTAAGGTCCTTTCCAACCCGAACTATTCTAGGATTCTAACTTTGTTGGACTCAGTCTTTGCTAGTTGAATCCTACATCAGAGGACTTGCTGTCTACTTGCTGTACTAGTCTCTAGCTTTTGTATTTTTATCATGCCTGTAAGCCTCTGTCATAAGCTAGGTCCTCGCTTCTCTTTCATTCAGGTTTGTGTTGAAGAGTGGGAGCATTAGATATTTTTAACATGTTTTGTTTACTGTCTCTTCTTTCCTGACTGTTACAGTCTGAATATATAATACTACTGTGACATTTATCCCTGGGACAGCTCTTTCTTCTCATCTAAAATACATTAGTTCTGTACCTAGAACTAATGTGCCTAGAACTAATGTTAGGCCTTCCTGGACTTCTGCATATTAGATATGGGGAAAATGTAATTTCCCCCTCCTCAACACTCCCCACACCCATCCTGCTCCTTCCCCACCTTGAGGGTTTTGTCTAGAAGTTCGGGTAACTAGTCACTGTTGCCATCTCCTCTGTATGCCATGGCTTGATCCAGGATATTTACAGCCATTCAGATGGGGCATGAGTTGCCTGTATTCTTATTATTAAACAAACCATATAGGAAAATAAAGGCAACTGTGTACAAGAGTCATTTTAGCTTAACAGTCTTTTGAGGTGCTTCTTTCCAGGTTTTGACTCATACTTGAATGTTTCTTGTTGTTTGATTTGCACATGATAAAATGGTTGTCCCTTTTTGTGCAGTGTGATCTTGTTTGCTTGATTCAGCTCAGGCTCACATTGTTGAGCTTTTCAGGCTAAATATTGAATTATTTGGTGGAAAGTAATTGCTTAGAGCATCATTTTTAGTTGTACTGTTAACCTCATCTTACAATGTACAGGAAACTTTTGCGTATGATTAAGTACCGTTTATAACAGAATCACAGAATAGCTGAGGTCAGAGGGGACCTTTGCAGATCATCTGGTCCTACCCCACTGCTCAAGTGAGGCTATCTAGAGCCTGTTTCCCAGGACCATGTTCAAATGGCTTTTGAATATCTTCAAAGATGGACATGTACACATAAAGATGCATTTAAAATCAGACTGAATCTTTTTTTAATGCCCAGGGCTTACTTCTGAGTTGACCCCTCTTCTTTCTTCTCTAGCATATTAGACTGTATGTGAAAACCAGAGCAACAACATTTGATTCTAAGCTTTCCTAGGGAGAAATTTTTAAAGTGAAATCATGGAAAGAGAGTAACGACTCTTCAGTGCTGTTTATTCTGAATACAGAAATTCCAGTAAAGCCCTTTTGCAGGCATATTGGGTCTTATGCTTGGTCTGTTTGGAGCTTTAGTTCAAATGTAGGAATTGTAGGAGACCTTGAACTGAGATGTCTGAAATTGCCCAGAAGGTCTGAATTCATTACAGATCATAAATGCCCTCTTCTTGCCAATATCTAGAATGAAAGACACTGGACTAAAGTGTGCAAACCAGTTTAAGATATTTCTACATCTTTCGGATAATTGTCTTTGGGATTGCAGTCAAGAAGCACAAAAGTTATAACAGTGAAGTGTTATGTGAATGGTACCAGTTAGAAATATCACTATGTCTAATCTTTTGTCAAGACAGCTGACTTCAGTTTTATTATCATACTTGCCCAGCTTTAGAACGTCTTACTCTTCTGGTTGCTCTTTGACGGATATGCTCAGACTGATTTGGTTACTAAAAAAACCAAAATGGATGGTTAAATAGCTTTTCTGAAAAAAACAGATGACATGAATTTTCATCTTTGACATCTTTATCAGCAACATGGGCAGTGGGATTGAGGGCACGCTGAGCAAGTTTGCCAATGACACCAACTTGTGAGGTGCAGTTCACATGCTGGAGGGACAGGATGCCATCCGGAGTGACCTGAACAGGCTGGAGAGGTGGGACAGTGTGAACCTCATGAAATTCAACAAGTGCAAGGTCCTGCACCTGGGTCAGGGCAGTCCCAGCACAAATACAGGCTTAGTGGAGAATGGATGGAGCAGTCCTGAGGAAGACTTTACCATGTTGATCAATGAGAAGCTCCCCGTGACCCAGCTTCATCATGCACTTAAGCCCAGACCCCCCCCCCCCCCCCATGTGCTGGGCTGCATCCCCCAAGCGTGAGCAGCAGCTCAGGGAGGGGATTCTCCCCCTCTACTGTGCTCTGGTGGGACCCCCCTGCAGTCCTGATCCAGCTCTGGGGCAGCAGCACAAGAGGGATGTGGAGCTGTTGGAGTGAGGCCAGAGGAGGCCACAGAGCTGCTGCGAGGGCTGGAGCAGCTCTGCTCTGGAGCCAGGCTGAGAGAGCTGGGCTGGGTCAGCCTGGACAAGAGAAGGCTCCTGAAGGGGAGACCTTAGAGCAGCTCCAGTGCCTAAAGGGGCTCCAGGAGATCTGGAGAGGGGCTTTGGACAAGGGCCCATAGGGACATGCCAAGGGGAATGGCTTTAACCTGCCAGAGGGGAGACTGAGATGAGCTCTTAGGCAGAAGCTCTTCCCTGTGAGGGTGCTGAGGCGCTGGCACAGGGTGCCCAGAGAAGCTATGGCTACCCCATCCCTGGCAGTGTTCAAGGCCAGGTTGGACACAGGGGCTTGGAGCAAGCTGCTCCAGTGGAAGGTGTCCCTGCCTGTGGCAGGGGTTGGAGCTGGATGAACTTTAAGATCCCTTCAACCCAAACCAGTCTGCGAGTCTATGAATAGGGTCATCATATTATAGTTGTTTTGTCCTCTGTTTTCACTCTGCATTCTTGTATCTTTCTGTTAGACATTTAGGTGTTAAACTAACCCAAGATGCCTCTTTTTCTTTCTCCTCAGCTTCCAGTAAGAAGTGTCAAAGCCCGTCCCAAGAAGAAGGCTGCAGGCTCTCTTGCTTCTGTTGAGTCATCCTAAGACAGCCTTCCCTTCCCCAGCACCTCTCTCTGTCCTGGGATTTACCTGTCACTTTTGAGGGGAAATTTTCCAAAGGAAGGGAGCTGAGATTCATGTACATAACAGATACTGCTTTGTAGAGCTCATTCTGAGGCAAGGGGGAGGCTGGGATTCAGAACATGCAGTAGAGGATACACATCCTCAGGAATTTTCTCATTTTCATCCCGCTGTTGGAGGGAATGTTGATATGTCTGTACATAGCCTGTTGCTTTGGAATTCTCACTCTATAAACCTAGTTGAGGAGAGTCTTTGCTGGGAGAACTGACTAGGGTTAGAGACATCCTTTGCACAGAAGCTGGAAAAATATTAGACACTGGAGTTCCACAGGGGTGAGTGGCTTCCTAAAATGTCTTGTCTTGCTCTGGGTATTCTTCTGCAGCTGTGTGTTGTGAAGAAGTGCCCACAATGAATCATCCTCCTTAAGAATGGACTGAAACCAATCATATCCATCCCCTTTGAGAAGGTGACTGAAATGATGTATGCTGAGTGCTTTTGAATCTAACGGACTGGCTCATGGGAGGAGTATGCTAGATACACATTACTAGTACTGGAAGGTGAAGAGATTGGTTTTAATTTTTTTCTGGAAGGTGAAGGGAGATAATTGAAAAACTGAGTAATGAAGAAAATGTGCTCTTAAATGCACCTGTGGTGAAGTAGATACTGTAACTGTAGTTACCGTAATAACTGTAACAGTTAACTACTGAAAAAGAAAGTTGGGCATTCGTAAGATTTCAGCTCTTTTTGAAGCTGCTTGAATTTTATTTCAGGTTCTGTTGTTCATTTTGATTCCTGTGATACCATCAGTGTGAGGCGAGTCTCATGTGGTGGGAGAAGTTGGCAGGGAGACTGTTGCTTTGCCATTTAGTGGTTGAACTCCATGTCATCCTGATGCTTGTTCCTTCAGACAGTTTTTTCATTCTGGCAGATGACTGGGGAAAATCTCAGTGTAGTCTGCAGGCATGTTAAGAATTTCAGGAGCCCTTATCCTCTACTGGATTTAGGAAATCCAGTCATCAGGGTATGAGAACTAATAAATAGCTGATGTATGAATGTTGCTAATTTCAGGATTCCTTTTATGGGGGGTAAAAAGCAGGGAGTAAGGAACATTAGTGATTAATGAGTCCTCTTGCTTTATCCTACTGCAGCCCTTCAACAAGTTTTCTATGTTTCTTTGATAAACATGTGCCATGTTTATCAATGTCCTAAGACTTCAGCAGTATGTAACACTTGGGACAGAACTACACTGAATGTAGTGTATATATATATTGTGGGAGTTAAATTGCAGTGTTGCAGAGAAAATTTGTATCATGCCAAGCCATACTGGAGTCTAAGCTTTTGAACATTGTTAAGGGGAGATCCCCTGTACAACTGCCAACAGAGTCAGTGGGCATTTGAGATGAGTGGGGTTCCTGTTGAGATCTGTAATGGGAGAGCACCATTATAGACATGGTTGTCTAAGATCGTCAAGTATTCATTCAATCTTTAGTGAAACTAGTTATCAGAGGAACCTGGCTCCTCCTTCCCTACTGAAGATCATTCTTGGCTCTAGACGCAGACATTTGTGTTTGCCCACATCTTTTGCTGTCACATTTCTTAAATTACAGCAGATTGTTTACAGAGCCCCGTAATTTGCTGTTGATGATGTATAGAAGCTCTTCTGCAAGTAATAGTACACAAGTATTTCTATCTTAAAGAATAGCCCTTCAACAGTTTGTGAAGTTGAAGATGAGGACTGAATTTTTTTCTTGTTTCCTATTGTCCTGGTAGAAAATTGTTACAAATTTACTATTTTAAGAAAACAATTAAGTTAGTTTTATTTGTAGCTTTAAATTTAAGTCTTGACAAAGCATGTCACAAACTTGCATCTTCCCAGAAATACTTGTCCTAAATTACCCAGAAGGCAGGAGAAAACCCTTGGTGTGGCTTCAAGGTTTGAGTTTCACAAAGAAAAGAAAAAAAGGCAAGTATTTTGTTTTTTTAGTTTGTTAGCAAACAGTGCATACATGTCTCACTAGTACATGCAAAGCATGTCCTGAAGCAGGAATTCTTTCTGTTTCCAGAGGAAAGTTCTTTCTCCATCTAAGGGATAAAAATCTTTACTAATTATGGGGAAGGTTCAGTTGCGAGGAATTGCTGTCCTTGATTTTACTGTACTGAATAAAAGAGAACCGTTATTCTCTATATACCAAGTATCTGTATGACCACATTTCTGGATTACTTTTTTTTCCAACTAAAAATTTCCATAGCAAATCATTTGTGTAAATCATTGTGAGGGATTTGATTTGGAAGCCAAGGATTCATTAGTCTCCCCTTATGCTGATCCTTGTGCACTTTCCTTGTGCGTGTGTTGTGATATGTCAGATGGCTCTGCTTTCATAGAGTGGCTTTCCAGAATGTTTTCTGGAATCTCTTCATTTGTAGTAACTGTTCCTTCTTTGAAGCACAAAAAGAATTTCTGAAGACTCAGTTTTGGCATTTGTGTTTACCTTTGTCTTCTTGAGCTAAGTATTTTTTACTTAGCATTGTTGCTTGATGTTATTAGCCTGTGGCTATGCGTCAGTCTTACTTGTGAGTTTTGTTGTACAAGGGAATTAAATGACTTCTGGTTGCAAGAGACAGTCTGAAGTAGAGTTAAGGACTGTTATCTAGTATGTGATACAGAGCTGATGATGTCAAGCAGCAGAACTTACCCAGAGCAAGCAAAATATCTTAGCATGGACACTATTTTCTTCTTCCAGTAGAAATGTGACTGCTGGATTGTGCTCCACTTGACCAAAACCTCTGCACATCTGCCACCACCCATGTGACCTCTTAGTGAGTTGCTAGATACAGTTCTGCATTGGATGGCATATTTTTGTGTAGAAATTCCCTTGTTAATGAGAACACTGAATGTGCTGGTTTGATAAAATGCTTTTGTCAGCTGATACTCATTGTTTTCAGCAGGAAATGTTGGAATAGTTCAGCCGGAAATGTTTCTCTTCAGTATCATCTGTGACCTTCATTGTGCAATTAAGCAAATGGTTACATCTTCACCCAGCAGTAGAACCCACTGTGTTCAGTAAGTCTTCATACCCCCTTCCTAATATGCCTGGGCAGAGATTGAAAATAAGAGAGAAAATAATACCTAAAGTTGCAAGAGGGGTGGGGGTTGTATGTGTCAAATTTTGTGTGCCTAAAAATTGGCCTGAAATACCTGTACCATGAGATACAAAGTAAAGCCATGGCCACCTTTTGGAAAGAAATGTTGTACCTCCACATTTTATAATACTATGAATCAGGGTTCTGCTGTTGCAAGAGACAATAGTGAAATGTGGTTTCCCATCTGAGAAACCTAATGATTTCTTGCATAAAAGGAAACAGTGTTTACTTGCTTGGCAGTATCCTCCACGGTGAGTAAGAAATAGGAAGAGACTACTGTCAGGTTTTAAACCTTACACTTAAACTCAACATCTTAATTTCTTACTGTTCTTTATTGAGTTTCTGATTCTCCAGCCTGATGTTTCTGGGTCCAGGGTTCTGATTTCTTTTAAGCTAGTTTCCTTGGTAGGTAGAGGATGTATTAGAGGGATGCTAGTGTTCTTAAAATTGCAAAGCTTGTGCTGGGGAAGCTACACCTTCCCCCATTTTAGTGAATTGAGTTCCAATCATTGTTCCTTTGCAGTCTGGACTTTCTTCTTTTATACATCCCTCTCGAAAGTGTGACTCCCTCACAATATATGGCCAAGTCATTTTTGCCTTGAAAAGCAAGATTTCTAGAGAATCTTAACTTCCCAGAAATTGTTGTTTATTCTTTGCCATCTTAATCAGCGGGAAATACCGTGCCTTAGGAGGAAAGCTGGATAACTATGGAATACTCCACTGATTCTCTGATCTGCACATAGCATTGTATCAAGGAGGTTTGCATGTTACCTGTGAAGTGTCACTGTATGCTTGAGAGCAGATATTGAGTTGAGCTGAGTTCTCCTGTCTGTCTTCCAAACTTGCATATAATGCTGGAAAGTGTGGCTTATTGCCTAAGAGACAAATCTGGGGAGGGGTGAATATTGTTGCCCTTCTTTCTGATGGGGACACTGTACTGTCACATTACTCTGATACTTGCTGGGGAATTGCTGAATCACATCTCTCTCTAACTCGTCAGTAGTATAGCTTTTCTTGCCTTCGCCACTAAAAATTTGCAGTGTGCCACCTGGCTGAAATATCTTGTGCTGCTGCTTTCCGAGTTGCCTCTGAAGTCAGATACATGGAAAATCAGCAAAGTATTCTGAAGCTATATGAACTCATAGAATCTCGTAGAATCATAGTCAGTCGAGTTGGAAGGGACCTCTGGTGATCATCTAGTTCAACCTCCTTGCTTCTAGGACCAGTTGCCCAGGAGTTCCTGTGTGCTATTTGTGGTCTGGAGCTTACTGAGTTTAATATTTGAGAGGTGGATTGTGCAGAAATGCGTATGCTGTATGGGAATGTGCATCAGTGTTATTCTGGAGAAAGGATTCCTCTTCCCTTTTAATCTGGAATTTGGCACTATTACTGGATGCAATCAACATAACTCGGTCTTACATTATTTACAGGTATTGTTAACAGGCCTGCAGGCTTCAGAAGAGATCTTAAGAAGTGTTCAGAGTAACTTGTGAGAACAACTGAACAGTAGACAGTAAGCCTTCATAGCAGCTAAGAACCTGTCTTCTGTACAGTACAGAGTTGTCCAGGAAATGCTGCTGCTCTTCTGATCCTTGAGCAATACTTAGACTTTGTGCTCTATAGATCAGAGCCTGATTCCTCTCTTACAGCACCTCTCTTTTCTGTCTTATCCTTTCTAAGCTGGGCTTGAGCAACATACGTTGAGATTCTTGAACCTTTCATCACTTCGGAGCAATAAAGTTTGAATTTAACCTCTGCAGGCAGCTGATCTACAGGGAGGACCAGATGAGTATCAGGTGTCTCGCATGACTTTGCAGTAGCTATGTTGAGGGAGCTCCAGAGGATATCTTCCATCTGGGCAACTACCCCTCCCCCCAAGCCTACAGTTTTGGATGAACTAAATGCTGGACTTTGCTGTGGTCATACACACAGCTGTCTGTAGAATCCCAAAATTAAGCCAGAACTGCCAGCACTTTATTTCTGATGAGAATTTAAAATAATGAGTTAAACAGTGGCAAGTTGGTGGGTTTTTTTTCTGCAGTTTTGCAGGAAAAATTTAGGTCTCTGCTTCTTTGCTGAAAACCTTTCTGAAAACCCTTGCAAGCAAACAGTGTTTTCATGCTCTCTTTCTCAGCTCCTGTCCTTTCATGACCCGGTTAAGTTTCCCATGTTTTCATGAAGCAAAGGACTACTTGCATTTTGCTGAGTGTGGAGACATGAAAAATCCTGTCTTGTAGAGCTCAAATTTAGCATTTTCCCATTATTTAATCTTGTGACCTAGAATCGTGCAGTCACTTGTACAACAAGGCCTAAGGCTGGATTCCCAGATGGAATCTGAGCATCTCTTGCTGATAGCATAGTTTGATGTCATTCCCTTTTCTTGCAGTGGGTTCTGGCTGAAATATGTTTACTGCAGACCCTTTGGACAAGAGCGTTGTGTCTGTATTTAGCCAAATGTTAGAAATAACATTTGTGGAAAAGCTGCAAAAATGAGTGAACTCTAGAGGAGCAACAGTTCAAGTCTTCTGTAATACATAGCTTGTCTGAGACTAGAAGATTTGTGGCAGCAGTAGAAATACATTGCTATACTGACTTATCAAAGGTGGGGAATTCAGTCATGTTCTTTGCAGCAGCTCAGGGAGGAGACTGAGCCTGCATGGCAAGCATGTAAGATTTTTACATAAAAGGGAACTAAGTTTTTATCATAAGTACTGCTTAGTAACTTACCAAAAAGCAAGCAAGTTGAACATTTTTGGTGACTTTATAAAATTAGGAGGTAAATGATTATGATCGTCAAACTGGTATTGAATACAAACCCTTTGTATTCATGCTGCTACCTTTTTGGGAAAGCACTGAGGTGATGGACTCCTCACTTTGACTCCTCTGTTAAATTATTTCTCAAATGTTCTGAATGCCATATAGAGATAAATGAAACTTTTACTTTGACATGTGTCCGTTAATTCATATCTAAATTCAGGCGTGCTGAGCTATGTATGAGACAGTGTGGGTTGAATGAAAGCCCAGTAAGAAAATGGAGGAGCTGAGACAGCCCAGTAAAGATTACTTGAAGGACCTTCCTTGAAGTGCAGAAATTAGAGGCTGTGTAGCAATACTTGGTTTTGATTCAACATTTTCATGACATTTTCATGACAAAGTTCGTGTTAGCACAGTGCTGATCTAAAGGCCGTAAGGCAAGGGAAGGATTGTGAATTGCATGTTGTCCACCAGAGGGTATAACATACAGTCGTGGAAAAGAGAGCAGAGACTTTTCTGGTAACAGCTGACAGGTTGAATGTCAGTATTTCCTGTGTATGAGAGTGAAAGTCTTACCTGGGGGAGGGAGAGGGGGGAACATGACACTGATAAACTGGGGCTCTGATGAAGAAATACAGAGTAATACTGCAGTTAACCCCTGGCTAAGGCTGTTTAAACTTGCTGGGCTTTCTAATTGAGCCACTTTCCAGTGAGGCTTGCTGAGATTATGGTGTTACAGAATACCTGTCCTCAAATCTTTTTGTTGTCCACTCAAGCTATTTTCTAGCTCCTGGAAATATGGTAGTGTTTGTGACTTATCTCCCCCCCCCCCCCCCCCTTTTTTTTTGCGATTAGCCACTTTGAGTTTGTTTATTCAGTAGTGTTGCCATAATTTATACTCTGATTTTTTGTTTAGTATTTCCTTGTAAGAATGAGTAGTTTCTTTCAATTGGATCTGTATTCTGTCAAAATAGAAGCAATTTTAGTCTAAAAAATACGTGTCTGACAGTTACTATGATAATTTGTGACCATGGCAACAGAGAGTTGACATTCTGAAGGACAGGTTCATTCTTTGGTTGTTCGGGGTTTTTTTCAGTCACAATCTAATTACTGTTGCAAGCATTTCAGGGAAAACTCTGACTACCTTATTTCTTGACCGTACAAGTTCATAAAGGGACAAGGGATTTTGACATTATCTCACATCAGATTTTCATAGAACAGGTGATGGGAGTATGGGCTAAATGAGCAGAATGAGGTGCATAAAAACTGGCTGAATGGCCAGGCCTGGAGGGTGGTAATCAGTCCCAGGGAGCCTAATTGGAGGTCGGCAGCTATCAGCATACCCCAGGGCTCAGCACTGCGTCCAGTCCTCTTTAACATCTTCACAGTGGTCTGGATGAGGGGACAAGAGTGTACTCTCTAAGTCTGCTGATAATGCAGGACTGGGAGGAGTGGCTGATAGGCCAGAAGGTTGCACAGGAAGCAGCAAGAGATATGTAGAGTATCTGACCTTGCATATCAAAATAGATGGAAATCCTAATAGGAACCTAATTTGTTCTGCTTTTGAGAAAGAGGAGGTCTTTTATTTTCAGCATCCTAAATGGAGGTTTACAAACTGAAGGAAGGTTCAGGACATACCAGAAGGTTGGAAAGAGAAATAGAATTTAGACTAGAACTGGGGATTCTTTATTGTCAGACTTCGTAAAACCAACCAAACAAAAAACCCACCAGCAACAAGAATTGATATGTTTCTGTTCTGTTTTTTTCATCATACGATCAGTTAAATAGCAGTGCTTTCAGGCAGGTGCTATATTTCATCTACAAGTTGAGGATTGCCCTGACATATTTGAGATCCCAGCAGCATGTATTCCATTATAGGAATGCATTTTTAATAGTGATTTAAAGAGTTGTAAGAGATAGATATGTTACTGAGGGAAGTAGGAATGAGCCCTCATGACTGAGTCTCATAATTAGTGAATGGCTGTCTCTGCCAGCATAGAGCTTTAATGTAAAGGCTGTCTACTATCAATACTTAATGTCAGTTTTATAAGGAAATGTGCTGGATATAAGTATAGCCAAAGCCAAATCACAGTATTTTCCAAGCTTTCTCTTTTCCTAGGCCCTAATGGGGAATCTAGCAACTGAATGGAAATTACAGCATTGCTCCTATCACTTGCTAATTTGGGGCAATGAATATCTTGAATTAAATAGAATCTAAAATGCATTTAAAAGCCAATTTTTGTAAAAGCCAGCTGTTGTGACCATTCTGTATTTGCTGCAGGATTACAGTAACTGATAGTGGAGCCACTGTGATGCTCAGAGTCTGTTACCTCAGAAAAGGAAAACCAGAAGAGGCCAGCCCAAACTTATCTGGTTCAGCTAGTCCAGTCTCTTGTCTGATACTGCTCAATCTGTTTGATGACCAGTGGGCAGTCTGGAATTACACACACTGGAAAAGCCTCTTTCTGACTCTGTCACTTTTTTGCCCATGCTGTGAGGCATGGTGATGTTAAATGACTGGGTTACTAGGGTTGTTTTTTTTGAGGGGAAAAAGGAGTTGTTCAACTTCTTCCACTAATTTTTTGTAGTCATTAGAAGTTTGGTCACTTACTGCAGTATGACAACTTAAATGTAAAAAACCCTAAGTCATCCCAATCTTGTATTGAGCTTTGTTACCCAGACTCTTTCTAGGTATCTTTTTACATTATCTTTTATGAAGACCATTAAAAAAAATCTTGTACTATCTCTTCAATATCTTGCTCATTTGC